TGAAGTTTAGTATCAGTGCCTGAGCTGCTGGCCACAGGGAGGATGTGCTCGGCATCCCATAGCTATGGCCAGGTGGTTGAGCTCCTCAGTGTTCCTGGTCAACTCCCAGGGTTTTGCCTGTATCAGCTGAAGTAGTAGACCTGCTTTGGAGCATCTGTATGTTTCTTTCTCCATTTGTTCATCTCATGAAGTCTTGTGCTAGATCCCCTCTTCCTTTAGATAACTGTCTATTAGATTCTACCCAATGCTGAATGGTGTGTTGGAGTCAATGATGAGTTTTTATGTTCTTGTCCCTGGGAATTGGAGACTTCCAGAACAGTCAGTGAGCCCCAGTAGTCAGCTCACCACTAAAAGGAAGTTCATTAGCCTCTCCAGCACCATGTCTTCAGTGAGGAGGAGCTGAGTGATGGAGAAGTGTTGTTGTCTAGAGGAAAACAGCTAGTTTGAAAGGCAAATGCTCCATGAAGTCTCTTGCTAGTGAGTTCTGAAAATGAAAACACTCCAATACACAGAGAACTAAATGGTGGTCACCAGGTATGATGTAAAAATGGTGGTCACTAGTGTTCTCATAACTTGTGGTTTCATTTTATTTTCATTCTAGGACATTTTAATTTCCCTCGTGATTTCTTCAATGACTATTAGTCACTCAAGAATTCACTATTCCTACTCTCAGTATTTGTATTGGGCAGGCTGTTCTGGTTCTCTGTTTCAACCCTTAATAAACATTGGAGTTTCAAGGCAGTGGTGATGTTGTCCCTGGGATTATCATTAGGCCTACAGAAAATAAAAGTCACACTGAACACAAGGACTAGAAGGCTTTGCAGACTGCCCGGGTTTTCATCTTCTGAGTGGATGCAATGAAGTGTGTCTAAAGGAATTGTCAATAACATCTAGATAAAGTCAACATGCTGCCTATTCTCCACAAAATGTACACATTTGTATTAGAGTTCTCTAGGTCATGCATGTTCAGCACATGTGAGCTTTTTACTTGGCATTAGACTAAGAATGAAGATAATTGCTAATATCTGTGACACAAATTACCTGTGTTCATTTCAAGTATTACCGGTGGTTTAATCCATTTAATCATTACAACAGTGTTAGGAGATAAATCACACTCTTTTCAGAGTGAGGAGACCTGGGCATAGGGAGGTTAAGTAAGCACCCCAAGATCTCATAGCTCATGGCTTCATAAGTACATGGACTTCATACAGGCCCTATCCCTCCACTGCTGATGATGGAAGGCAGGCTCTCACATATACTGGGCAAGTACTCTCCCTGAAATTTACCCCCAGGTCTGAAACTCTCTGGCATAGGTTGTTGACTTGGTTATTTCCTTATCTTATTTTAAATTAAAATTTTATAATTATATTTTACTTGTTCATCTAGTCTATCCATAATCTTTGAGTTCTAGTTTCTATGAGAAACCATATCTCAAAATTAATGTGGCAAAAGATTGAGGCAGATTCCTGATATTTGCCTCTGACCTCCACCATCAATTGTGAGTACATATGTGAATCTTTATACACACATAAACACACATGCAACACACACAGATAAGTATGTTGTATAGGACATTCTTTCGAAAGAGATTTAATGTGGCCTGTTTTCATTAGAATACTTTAAATATTGGGTTTTTAGGCCTCAGAGGGTCTCCACTTTTACAGATTAGGAAACGGGGTGGGGGGGAGACAGAGGTCATGAATTACCTGGGAATGAAGTGCCTACTCAAAATGACCAGGTCAACGCACCCTCTAAATCCAAGTGACATATACTAACATAAGCACAGAAGCATCCAAAACCAGGGAATTCTTCATCACTGTGCCATGACTGTTGGAAGACAGGCCAGCTTGGAAGTCCCCCATTCTCGGTCCATGGAATCAAATCCTTCCCAAACCATAAGTACACTCTAGTCATTCCTCCTTGTAATATTTCAAGTCTCCTCACCACCGTCGTGTCCTTACTACGTCCTGTTCAGAAATGTGAGCCTCTACACTCTCAAAAACAGTCACAGAGAAAGGGAAACAATATGGAGAAAATCCAGAACTTGAACCCAGGACTGTGTGACCCAAAATTCTAGAAAGCCACTGCTTGGGACTAATGGGGTGTGGATTCCAGCTTCCTGTCCCTTGAAGGAACTTGGACTTTTACTTCTGGCTAAATTAGAAGAAAGAAAGTGTTATTCTTAGAGAAAGACTTTTGGTACGACCATGCAGGTGGAGATGGAGACAAATGGAACGTTCACCTTGAGCCTGAAATTACAGACTGTGGGAAAACAGATGTGTGAACTGTCCAAACTGTGTCTGTAGCTCTGCCTCAAACTTACTCAAGCTCTAATGTGCCTTGTCTTGGAACTCTTCAGCTCTGTGGATGAGACAAGGCTTATTTCATTGGTCTTTGACATTGAAATGGCCTGCTCAGCAGGGTAGTCCCTTTCCTGGGAGCAAAGAAGCACCAACTCACCTCATATTATTAATAAATAAAGAGAGGCTAAATCTATTGTAATCCAGTGAGATCAAACATACCTGATGTCTGTTCTTGATTATCCTGCCATGGTAAATCAGTTTCCTGAGTGAATCTGACGTGCACATTCATCTTCTGAATGATCTCTGTCAGAACACTCATCAGTCAGTGCTTGTACCACTAGGGAATGAGCTCTCATCCTGGTCTCAGAGAAGTCAGTTTCCCTGAGCTGTTTCATTCAGTCTCTGTCACAGCTCAGTTAGAAAGGATTGCCACCATCTCCATTGTACAGAAAAGGAACCTGACACTCCTAAGATTAGGAATTGTGTCTATACAGCTAGGTCCATGCACTGTTTCCAGGCTTCATATTAATACCGATCACTTATCAAAAACAATTGATAATTGGCCAAGGAGTGGAAGTGGATTATATATGCCTGTTTTCAGGGGTGACCTGAGGATCTGTTGCTCTTAATGAGATTGTTATGTGAGTTTGAAAAACTTAGTCAAGCACTTGAAGAATAAACTAAGAAATGGAAAAAATATAGAACCAGGAAAAAAACATAGAGGGCAAATATTGCTCCAACCAGTGAAAGTGGGAAATAGCAGTCACAAAATGAAAGCTTGGAATTTGGCCCAGAAAAAATGACATTGGAGCAGGAGATAGTGTCCTAATAGAAGGTCTCAGAGAGCAACCGGGAAATGCATAGAATAGGTGTCATGTGCCAGACTGCATGTGTGAAGTATTAGGGATGTTTATGTAGGAAATGTCTCTACTGTGAAACAAAGAAATTATTAATCTGAAATAAAACAGAATGAATCAACAACAATAGCAACAACAAAATGCCTCTATTTTTAAAATGAGGCATGACTTAATGATATTTTATAATATTGATTGTAAAACAGTTTTGCCTTTTAATTTCTCCAGTTTGTAGCCTGCTTCATTTCTTTGGATGTAAAGTAGTTTAGACTAGGATAGTGATGCCAGAACTGTTTTGTCTCACTTGTACAGTGATGTTTCAGTTCATCCTTCAGCTTCCTTTATTTAGTGTTCATTATTTACTTAAAATTATTTAAATAACAAAATTATTTAGCTGTAGGCTGAATAATTTTAAAATTATTTAAAGTAATTTCATACACTGGTGAAGAGTAACCTTTGTTTCTGTAGACTGCTTTCCTGTTCTGTATTGACTATGTTGAAGTGCTGTCTAAAGGTTTCAAATCTTCCATTGGGCTGTTTGTAATACATACATGCATACATAATATATACATGCATACATACAAAAATATACAAGTGGGCTTGAATTTTTTCAGTAAGGACTTCACGCATGACCTCATAAGATCTGTGATTTCCATTCAGTATTGAGACTGGAGAGTTGGCTCAACAGTGCTTGCTTCTCTTGCAAAAGACAAGACTTCAGTACCCAGCACCCTACTGAACAGTTCTTAACCATCTGTAACTCCCTCTTCTGTCTTCTGTGGATTCACACACAGAGATGTGCACACAGAGATACATACACATGAATAAAAATAAAATTTTAAAAACAGTTTTAACAAAACATATAATTTCAATACTGCATCTTGGCTCTGTCCTGACAGGATATATCTGTTATAATGATGTAGACAAGGCCACTTTAGCTGGGATTGCTTAGATAGCTCCATCTCACCACAAAACTCCCCAATAACCTTGAACCTGACACCCATTTCTCTCTGCTGCAATTCTCCAACTGGGGAATAAGAGAATGACTCCTTTCTTCATTTTTGAAACTTTTCTAAACATTGACAAGGTTTGAAGGCAGCACATGCAGAGCTTTCATCTGAGAACTGTTTGTCAGTTAGCAGGGTTCTTCTGTAGTAGAGAACAGAGGTGCCATTAAATAGACAGTGGGAGTAGTTTATGGATATCTAAGCCAGGTATGGCCTTCCTTTCCAGCCAGTCAACACAGATCAACATGAAAAGGTCAAGAAAATTACAGAAACTTATGCTAATAATTTTGACACAACACTTTAAATTATGTAAACCAGTAATAAAGATATGAAAAATGAGAGGATGTTTAGAATTAGAGAAATGCAAAATGAGATGAGTTACATTATCTCATCTCTGATAATGGCAAACCAGTTAAAGGTGTCCAGGTTAGTGCAAGGGAGCAGTGTGGGAGACAGAGTCCCTCAAAATGCCAGAGAAAGTGAATAAGGGAATATTTGTCAACAGTTTAAATAATTTAAATACAAACTTCAGAAAATTTTGAAATCTCACCTTGAAGAATTGATCCTGTCCATATACTGGCAAGACTCTATTAGGACAAGATGCCAACACATTGCTCATGTCTAAAAATATAAAGGACTGACAGGTAAAGAAAGGCTGCACATTTCTCAGTAAGCCACCCATAACGGGGAACACTGCCCCCTCCCAGAACTCGCTGCTATTGCAGGTACAGTGTTTATTAGGTCACTCCTGGACCTAGCTGGTGGAAACTTTACTGACTCATTTCCAGAGATAGAACTCAGAATGTCCAAATTATTTAGGTTAGTGCCAATACTACCTGAAAGTGATGCTGAGGTCCCAGTGAGCAGGCCACAAAGGACAACAAGGCTCCCAAGTTGGAACATCTTTGGTCCTGACACCTATATTGTCATAGAGGAAGAAAAGGAAACAAGAATCCACAGTGAACACCTGTCACTCTCACACTTGACCTTCCAACAGGACACAGGTGCTTCTGTTCACAATAGGTAAGAAATGGAACCAGCAGAGATGGTCACCATTGCCAGTGGATAAAGAAATTGAGGCCAAGTGCACAAGGGAATTTTATTCAGCCATGAAAAAATGAAATCATAATATTTCT